TCATCATCTATTTCATTACATTTTTGGCAGGTAAGGGAGGAAACAGGGTGCAGATAGTAGCATGAAGGATGGGAGCTGAAAGATAAGAACAGACACCCAGAAAATGCCAAGAGATGAACTGAATTTATTAAATAACTTGGCAATGCAGTGAGACAAGACCAACACCCACTACTGGACTGCTTTCTGAACTGAACCCACTCAAACCTCCATGATCAATCCTGGGCAGAAAAACCTTACAAGCACATACAAGCACATGCCATTGGCTTAGGGCTCAGTTTTGAAATCATGGGCTGCACAGAGATGTCTTTTCTTTTTTTAAAAATATTTATTCTTAAGTTTTAGGTGGACACAATATCTTTATTTTACATTTATGTGGTGCTGAGGATCAAACCCAGTGCCTCACGCATGGTAGGCAAGCCCTCTAAACACTGAGCCACAACCCCAGCCCCCCCCCAGCTGTCTTTTCATAATTAAAATATTATTAGATAAATATTTATATTTCTTGTGTTCTGATTTTGAAGCATCAGCAAGTGTGAATGAAAACCTATGGAGTCCCCTTTTCTGCCTCCCTGGGACCAACCTTGAACCAGCTGGATGACCAACTGCTGCTGCTGACTATGACTTGGCAAAGAAGGCTAATCCAGCAGTGGTGGGGCTGTCTGGTCTGATGGCCTGGGCAGCAAGACCTGGGGATGGAGGATGCAGAGCCAGGCAGAGGCTGGGGCGGGGACTCAGACACATGGGGTTCCTCTTCAGTGTAACAAGGTGGCAGGACATGGACTTTGAAAAGGTGAGTGCCACAACAGAGAGATAAGGAGCAGGCCCACAGGCAGGCTCAGGGTCAGCATGTTGGGGAGGAGACAGCAGCACAGGTAACAACAGCTGGCACTTCTTCCAGAGTCAGTCCTCACTCTGCCTGAGGGTTAGTGCTTCTCTTGCAGGCTGGCCTAAGGCTCAAAAAGGCCCAGTTCTTGGCATCAGCAAGGGATGTCCATCTTGGAGTCAGCATCCCCTGATTCTAAGGTGGACAATTTGATATTTTAAAAATATTTAAGGGGCTGGGATTGTGGCTCAGCTATAGAGAGCTCGCCTTGCATGTGTGAGGCCCTGGGTTCGATGGGTTCGATCCCCAGCACCACATAAAAATAAACAAATAAAATAAAGATATTGTGTCCAACTACAACTAAATAATACATATTTTAAAAAAATATATTTAAAAGTCCCAGGGTGACTTATTATGCCTTTCTTCCCAGCAACTTGGGAGGATGAGGAAAGAGGATTCCAAGTTCAAGGCCAGCCTCAGCAACTAAGTGAGGCCGTAAGCAATTTAGCAAGAATCTGTCTCAAAAGGAAAAAATAAAAAGGGCTGGGGATATAGCTCAGTAGTTAAGCACCCTGGGTTCAATCTTTAGTACCCCCCAAAAAAGATATTTAAAAGTTTTAATTGATACATAATTGTACATATCAATGGGGTGCAGTATGATATTTCAATATGTATACAGTGTGCTATGATCAGATCAGGTAAACTGCCATATCCCAGGGCGGGAACTTTTATCTTTTATCATTTATCATTTCCTTGTATTGGAAAGGGTAACCTGCTATTTTAAAGTCCTATAAAGGGAAAGTAAAGAAGCCAAATTCTAAAGGAGTAGGAAAAAGAACTTAGCACTTGCCAAAAGGGGATACACGAAAATAAATGATAATTTCATGATTTTTTTGGACTATTTGAAATGAAGAGAGGATAAAGCAGAAAATTACAGGGTCCTATCAACCTACAATGGTCACCATGTCCTCCTCTCTGTACCTCTACACCTGGAGAGATGATCTGAGAGGCATAGAGAAAGGAGAGAAAGCAGAGGAATTTTTTAAATAGACTAAAAAGATAATTTAAAGCAAAATTTCCCCTCCTATTTTCTGACTGTGCCAGGAAAAGCAACTCAGGTGCCTGATCTGATCTCATCAAACTTTTTCTGATAGTGCACAACTACGTCAGAATGGTCAGGCCTACTTTAATATCCAATGAGCAGAGCTCAGAGGGCAGTGCAGTCATTAAAAAGCATATGGGGGTGCTGGGATTGTGGCTCAGCAGCAGAGTGCTCGCCTAGCACGGGCGGGACCCGGGTTCGATCCTCAGCACCACATAAAAATAAAGGCATTGTGTTGTGTCCATCTACACCTAAAAAATAAATATTAAAAAAAAGACTTAAAGAAAAAAAGAAATTGAAGAAGACCTAAAAAAAAAAAAAAAAAAGCAGATGGGGAGGGGGGCATCATGCCTTGTTAAAAACAGTATATTACATGATTCAATTTTGGAGGAACTGGTTAAAGAATAATAACCAGGGGGCTGGATTGTGGCTCAGTGATAGAGTGCTCACCTAGCATGCACACGGCACTGGGTTCGATCTGCAGCACCACATAAATGTAAAATAAAGATATTATGTCCACCTAAAACTTAAGAATAAATATTAAGAAAAGAATAATAACCAGTAACGTGAACCAAAATGTTACCAGCAGTCATCTCTGAATTGTGTGATTACTACTGATTTTTCCTTCCTTTACATTTTTCTTACATTCTTCAACTTTTAATAACTGTGTATTAATTTCCCAATCCGAAAAAAAAAGCCATTATTTTACAAGGGTTTAAGTTTAAGCTTTAAACACTTAATGATGCTGTTGTGATTTTGAGGAGGTTGGCCAGCAACCTGCCTTTAATTTCAGGCTGCTGATGGGATGGTCCAAAAGTTCCTGTTTGGGTCAGCACCCTAAGGGAATACCAAATACGGGGTTCACATATTTAGTGGGAGGGGAGCACTCCAGGCAGCAGTGTTCTTTCCTCTGGAAGGTTCCCGAAACTCTGGATAAGGCATATGGCTGCAACAGCTGGCAGGGAGATGGATCAAGTGGTGCAGTTTTGAGATCTGGTGAATGCTGTTCTGAGTTTTTCTGAACCAGGAGTTGGTATCCTTTTTTTTTTTTTCTTCTGGAAAGCACCAAGTAGGAAATATTTTAGGCTTTGCAGCCATGTGATCTCTCTTGCAACTACTCAACTCTGCTGCTGAGAAGCAGCTGGGACAATATTACAACAGATGAGTGTGGCTGTGTTTCAATAAAACTTTATTTACAGAGAATGCAGTTTGCCAATCCCTGAAGAACTCCAGTTTCCCCAGCATAGTTCAAGAAGCTAAGTGATCAGGTACAAGTTCCTGTTAATAGGTGAGTCATTAGATAAGATCTCCCCCTCAAGTGAAGGGTTGACTACAGATGATTTCACAGAAAAGGAAGTTCATTATTGTACTTATGGTTTTGGCCATTTAATATGTTGGTCTTTGTCCTCCACATAAACTATGAGTATCGAAGTTTGGAAAGTGAGTCTGCATTTTAAATACCATCCATGTAATTCATACAGGGACATGTAAATAGAATGAGCTTGATCCACCTTTGCTGAGTAAGAAATGAATGAATGATTGTCTTCTACCGAGCTGGTGTGAAATGTAGTTCTTGAGTGTCACCTCTTGGGAACTTCTCAAGCTGTATCCAAGTAGATTGCACCTTAAATGAGACATCCTGTGTCCCCAGAGTTGGGGAGAATGTCCTGAACAAAGTAGCCCAGAAGAACAGTCAGGTTGCCAGGTCACATAAAAAGTGTCCCAGGGCTCAGGCCTCTGCTGTTCACTCCCTCCAACCTGTAAGTTAACATAGTGTCTACCTCACAAATACGTCAGTACCTCCTAGAGGAATATAATTCTGCCCAGATATTTCTAGAAGATCAATACAAACAACCAAAGGTTGGGCCTGTCCAATGTCCCTTCTATCGGGTTTCCTAGTTTCTCAGTGACTGATTTGAAGCTGAGGGAGTGTGAGACCTGAGCTTTTGTCCTATGACTCTTTGGTACCTCCATACCCCCTGCCTCCTATTTTGCCTCACCTCAGTCAAGGCACCAAAGAGGTCAACTTGTCAAGAACTCTTTCTCGCCAGGCTCAGTGCACACCTATAATGTTCACATATGTGTGCATTCACATATGTGAACATATATGTGCATACCTATAATCCCAGTGGCTCGGGAGGCTAAGGCAGGAGGACTGCAAGTTCAAAGCCAGCCTCAGCAAAAGCGAGGCACTAAGCAACTCCGTGAGACCCTGTCTCTAAATAAAACATAAAATAGGGCAGAGTGCCCCTGAGTTCAATTCCTGGTACCCCCCAAACAAAACAAAACAAAACTCAACTCTTAATCTTGTCCATTTTGACATAGCATCAATCTTTATCTTCTACAAATGCAAAACATGTCAATGAGGTAGAAATGAGCAGGTGAATCCCTGCAGCCTCTTGATCCAAACTCTTTCCCTGACAGGTCCTTGTGGAACCCACATCCTATCTTAGGTGAGCCTCCTGGCTATATCAAAATGTTCACTCTCAAGACGGGAATTTAGAATCATCTCACCCCAAAGAATCTGGGACAAAAGCCAGGTTAGAAGATGGATTTTAAGCAATGCTAATGAACAACGTACTTGGCTAAAATCTAGTTTGGAGTCTGAATGCCTCACGAGGTAAACATTTTGCAGGGGTTCATCCTAGTTTTCATATGGGATATGTGTGTGAATGCACATATATGTGAACATAAGCATAGTCCAGCCAATAGAAACAGCATGCACATGTGTACTGGGTGGTATTCATTTTTCTAAGTAAATATTAATGGTCATTGAGAAGATGTGTTCTAAATCTAACAGTAAGGAACCAGATCCTGGAGTTCTGAGTTCCCTGTTGTCCTTTCCAGGTCGCAGAGATTTATGCAGAGGCCCATGGAAGGTACACACAGATGAGAAAAAGAAAAGCTAGGCCACAAAATAGTTCCAGGGAGAAATCCCAGGGAAATAACCCTCAGAGGTCTAAGGCCAGAACATTTCTGGGGTCCCGGTTCCAGATGCTGGTGCTGGCCCTGGCCATATGAAGGACTCTCAGAGCCCAAGAGGCAAGCATAGCACAGAACGAGAGGGCTACTCACGCTGTCGTTGCTTCCTTTGTTGTCCTCATACTTGGTTTCTATATGAATGGAGAATTTTGGCAGAAAGGAACACTATGGAGAAAAAACAAATATGCATTAGCACAAGCTCTCTCTACTCTGCACACGCTCAGTACAGCCTCTGCTCTCCTCACCATTTGGTTGGGAGCACGGCTTTACAGCAGAAGTGTTGATCTACTATGGCAATATCCCTATGCACTTACGAAAAGCCACCTTTAGGAGCATGAACACAATTTCTTCCAGAAGTCAGGCCAGAGAGAGAACCCAACAGGAATATGTTCTGTGGGTCCTGCCACCAGCTTTGGAAAAGCAAATCCCTAAAACAGAGGTCAACTCTGGTCTGGAGAGCTAACCCTGGGGAGCAATTGCCACTATTGGATAAATGGGGGGGTCTGCTTTAACTTCTATATAAATACTTACATAAAGTTAGGAAGGTATAACTTTAAAAGTTAGTCAGACTGGCTTTTAATATGACTTTGGATAAGTCATTCAACTTCTCTGAACCCCAGCAGTATCAAACAGGAATAATAATTATTAACTAAGAGTGGCATTGTGAAGGTTAAACAAAATGATGTGCATAAATATAGTGGCAGAGTGTGTGCTTAGCATGTGTAAGGCCCTGGGTTTAATTTTCAAAACAAAATAACAAAAATAACACACACACACACACACACATAAAAATATGTAAATATAATATAAATAATGCTGAGCACTGAGTTAGCATTCAACAAAACTCAGTGATCCATGAGGCTGCAGCCGAGCTTGACCAGAAAAGTCAGCCCTTCTTGCTGGCTGCATGAGGGACACTACAAACCCGGACTGCAGCTCGGCCCTAGTGTTCCAGATTGTCTCATTCTGTGTATCCAGTAGATCTTAAGAGGTAAGGCAGCTTGAGAAGAGGATTTTGACAAATGTTGGTGTAACTACCCTCCTGCTAGCACTGAGCTGGCCATTACTTTTTGGATATAGGTTTGAAGGCTAATTGGTAAAATGACCCAGGGACTCCACTGGGAGCTGCAGGTGTTGGGGAAATGAGACTTCACTTGATCTGATCACAGTCCCAAGAGGCTGGGTCCTTTATGTACTTATCTACTACTCAGGGAATGTGCTTTCAACATCAGCACAGTCTGAATACTTTCAGAGTCTCATGTATTCTTTGCAACAATCCTAAGGGGTGGGTACTGTTATTATTAACATCACCCCTGCTTTCAAGATGAGGAATGGAGGCACAGAGAGGTTAAATAAATGGCCCATAACCACAGTTATGCATCTAGAGTCAGGTGTGAAAGCAAAGTGGGCTGGCCCCAGTGTCCATGCTCTTGACTACTACCCCAGTGCTTCTCACAGGGGCGTATCTGGTCTAGCAACAGCAGCATCACCCTCAAACTAGTTAAAAATGGAAATTCTCAGGCTGCACACTAGACCAATTGAATCAGAAACCCTAGAGTGGGGTCCAGCAATTTATGTTTCACTTGTTCAAGTTGGAAAATCAGCTCACTCTCCCATGCATGGGAAGGAAACAGAGTGTACCGTCTAAAATCCAAAAGTCCACAAACACCTACCCTCATCTCTTGGGCTTCATCCCCACAATGACCATGCTTCCGTTTTAGAGCCCCGGGGGCATCCGTATGAGAAGGCAGAGGTCTTGGACATGCTAGGGATAATTTTCCTGGCATCACATGCCTGTGTGCATTCTGCATCCATCTGTCTGAATCTGAGCAAAATAAGCAATCTGAACCGTGACTAAGGAAACACAGAAACAATCAATCCCAATGATTGCCTTTATGGAGAATGAGGCCCTGTGATTATTCAATAACACCTTCTCTGCTGATTTCTCTCCAACCTCTCACTTAGTAAGTGAGGCCCTCATATCCTGTTCCAAAGGGTTCCAGGACGGTCTGCTTATTGAGACCCTGGAGAATTCAAAGCCCCCAGCAGAGCTTTGAGAGACTCATGAACAGGAGGGTCTTGGCCTAGAGGCCCTCTTAAAAATAACCAACCTTCAAGTGAATCAGTTCTGTACTTTTAAACCCATTATTCATCTGAGGGCCAATCCAATGAGTGGCGGGACAACAGGGCCATGCAGGGTGTGAGTAGACCTAGGGGGTGCCATGTAGAAAATCATAAGGATTTTGCATTAGTTGAACCTCCAAAACCATTAAACTAGGTCAAACAAATGAATTTTAGGATTTGGGGTATTAAACTCAAATATGAAATGCAAAACTCTTATGCAAATTAGCAGGTGCTGTTATTTTTGAGTCAAAGACTCAGGTTATTTTCATGTCAGAATGGCAACCTTGCCCTGAGGTTGGGAGCGCACCTGCCTGTGGCAGCGGAAGGATGGGAACCGGATGGGCCAACTCCAGGCTGGTCAGTGCTTTCTCTGCTAATCCCTTTGGAATACCTGACAGCTAGTTCTTGAAGTCCTGGAGTATGCAAGTGTCTAAAAAGTTAAAATCAGAAGTCTGTAGCTCTAGGCATTTTCAGACCTGTCATTAAACTCTTTCCAGTAAGATGTCCATCTTAAGATACACTTCTGCCTGCCCCATGCAGGCTAGTGGTTGTAAAAATTCCAGCACACAAATCCTAGCAATCTATAAGTGTTAGGCCCCAGCACTCGGCTTTGCCCTTCCTGTCTCACAACTGATCATTTTGATCCAGGCTTTGATGAGAACATAGATGCTGTGACAGAAACACCTACAACTTCCCTTTCATCCACTGCAAAACTTCTGCTTATTAGGTTATACTTCTTGTTCTTGGTGAAACAGAGAAAGACGTCTTTTTCCCAATGCAAAATAATATAAAGAAAAGCCCTGACACATTTGAACCAGTTGACTTAGGCTCAAATCCAAGACACAGTGCGCTTTGGGCAAATTCTTTTATCAGCCCCAGCCTAAGTTTCTCCATTTATAGAATGAGGATAATACTCTTCTCTGTGGAGAATATCAATGAGGTCAGGCAGGTAAGGCCCAGCATAGCGCTTGGCATGTCACAGGTGCACAGTAATAATAAACATTCCCAAGATTCTTCTCTGGAACCTTGTCTCAGTGATAATTTACATCTTCTCCCTGCCTCCTTCCCACAGCCTAAAAAAATATTCCTAAAAAAAAAAAAAATGATCACAAAGTTCTTCGTTTCTTCCTTTATCTATAACCAACCCCAATTCTGTCTTTATAATCAAATATATTTAAAGAGTAGTCAGTCCTGGTCAGCTCTACTCTTTTGGTCTCTCACCTCTTCTCAACCAGTACAATTTGGTATGGAGATGACTAATTTGCAAAACATTTCCAAATCAGCACACTTTTTTCATCTGCACCCTATAGACCCCTACAGAGGGTGAAATGACCCAGCAACTCCTCTGTCCTTACAGCAGTTCCTGCTCAATCCTTCTTCCACCTTCAGTGGAAGTGATCCCTCCTTCCTCTTCTTGCTCCAAAACTTTGTCCCTGGTCATCTCATCTGTTTCTGATTTGCCCATGACCATTCTTTGCAGGTACCTCTCAAATCAACCTCTAATTCCAACCTCTCTTCTTACATTTCAGCTGCCCAAAGGCCACGCCCAGATGGTCTCACAGGTACACCTGACCTGAAATGTCTGCACTGAACTTGAATGTTCTCCTTCCCTCTAGTAATTTTCTAGGGTGGGGGTGAGGGGACAAATTACCACAAATTCAGTGGTTAAAATAAAAGACATCTGTTCTCTCACAGTTCTGAGGGTTACAAGTGGAAACCAAGGTATTAGCAATGTGGATTCCCTCTGAAGATTCTAGGGTCCAGAAGCCCCAAGCAGTCTTTGGTTTGTGGCTACATAGCTGTAGCCATTGTCTGCAGCTTCATATCACCCACCAGATGATGAGCTCCAATCCTGTCATTCTCCAACAGGAGGATCCTCCTTATACCCCATCACCACAGGGAATGGCTTATGTGATGGTTACCACAGTTTTCAGACCTCTGAGCATCTCTTTGAAGTTTGCTCACATTAATACTTTTGCTGCAACCAAATATACCTCTACCCTAGACATTCTCAAATATGCAGGGGGAGAAGTGAGACTCTCACTTTCCAATCCTTAACTTCCTCAAAATATGTGCAATCCCATAAAGATTCTGACATTTCCCTTGAGTGAGGGGGATTCCATGCCACTGAGGGACCTGTCATGAGGGGTGGGAGTGGAAAAGAAGTCAGGAACTCTGATATAACCACACTTGAACCTGCTCCAAGAAGAGTGATACCAGAATTTTCAGCCATTAACCTAAAACTAGAAGATGGCAAAGGAATTTGGAAGACTCTGTGCTTTCTATAGTGTAGTCACCTGAAAACGTAGGGTGCTTCAAGTTCCATGAGGCCCACAAAATGCAGGAGAGAGTTCTGAGACAGCCCCAGACCCCACCCCATGGTGCACGTAAGCTATATGATCCTCCCCTTCTGTATATGATGGGACACTGCTCCCTGGATTGGTCCCTCGAGCCATCACAGGGAGCACAGGCTTTGACGGCTACCAAGGAGATGAGATGCTCACTCCTGATACTCTGTCACAGTATCCATGACTTCAGTTTTTAAAAGCAGAAATTCTTTTGTTGGCTTTGAAGCTGTGAGAAGGCCAGGTGGCTAGGAACTGAGGAAGGCCTCTGGGAGCCGAGAGAACAGCCAGCTGGAAAAGTAGACCTCTGTCCTACAACCACAAGGAATTTCATCCTGCCAGCAACCGATGGGCTTGCTTGGAAGAGGACCCTGAGCCTGGGGTGAAACTGGAGCCTTGGCTGATAGCTCAGTATCCACCTAACCAAGGATTCAGTTAAACTGGGCCTCAACTCCTGACCAAGGAGACTGCAAAATAATAAATTTGTGTTGTTTTAAGTTGCTAAGTTTGTGAAAATTTTACACAGCAATAGAAAACCAACACACTCAACCTGCGTACTGTTTCCCTTCTGAATCACACCCCTGGCCTTCATCCGATGAAGCATCATTCGCTGTGAGCTCTGAAGAGTCCAGGGCACTGGGGAATTCATACTCTTTCTGACTTAGTCATTTCACCTATGATATTATCTGCCCTGTC